TGTTTTATTTCTTCATCGCTCTCCGTCGCCCGTTTTCCTCACTAGAAAGCTAATGTTGACCACTCCCGGGCCACTTTCTTTAGTCCTAAACCCCATATTTGTGTTGTACACACCTGGGAGGCCACCAATATGAATAGGCCGGCCAGTAATTGTCTCTGACCCTTTTGAACCCCTCTAAAAAGTTGGCTTTTCTCTCTCTTGGTTGACATTTTCCGGGTTTTGACCACATTTGTGTTGTGTACACATGGGAGGCCACCTTTTTGGGGTGGCCGGCCAGCAATTTTGATTTATCCTTTTGACCCCTGGCCGGCCAGCCAAGGGGGGTGGCCGGCCGGCCCCCTGAACCTTTTGAACCTGGCCGACCATGATCCTCTCTCCAAGTGTATTCCAGCTGTGCCAGCTGTTTCTCCCTAGATCCTGTATCCGAGGGGCTGCCTTTTGGGGGGGAAATTTGAATTTGTTTTTCTCCCCCTTTCCTTGGCCTCTCTCCCTCTTTAAAACTAGCACTTTACCACCATTTTGAAGGGTTAGAAAAACCAACTGGGATTCATATATACACCCTTCCATATATCTCTCTCATTCAAGCCTCCAAACACCCTTGTTCTTGACCTTTACACTACACCTCCAAGCCTACTACCTCCACACTCCGTTCCAGCAACTTGGAGGCCATTTTCAGAGGTTAGGAGCTCACTTTCTTGGACCAAAAGCTGCTGGAAACCTGTGCTACAAGGGTGAGTCCCTATTTCCTTTTTTCTTGCCCTATTTTGCATGCTATCTTAGCCCCTTTTTATTACATTTTTGAGCTCCGACCTGAACTGTAAATAGTCATATTTTGAGCTCCTCTTCATGTTTGATCAAGGACTTTTTACTTTTTGAGGTCTTCTCCTTACCCTTTGTGTTTAATCTCTCTTTTAGGCCTATTTTTGCATGGTATTTTAGTCTTATTTGTGAGCTGTTTTGGATTTGGTCATAAACTGTAAAATGTCTTTTTTTCAGCCCCTCTTCAACTTTGTTGAAGGGCTCTTCTCTGTTTGAGGCCAGCTGCTACCACTTGTCTCTTTATCCCTTTCTTAGGCCTTTTTCTTGCGTGTTGTTTTAGCCTCACTTGTGTTTATTTTAGAGACTCAATATAAACTGTAAAGTGCCTTGTTTTGAGCCCCTCTTAAACTTTGTTGAAGGGCTCTCCTCTGTTTGGGGCCAGTTGCTGTCCCTTGTCTCTAATCTCTCTTTTAGGGCCATTTTTGCATAATAGATTAGCCCTATTTGTGTTCACTTTTGAGATTTGTTATAAACTGAAAAGAGTCTCCTTTTGACATCATCTTCTTGTTTTATTAAGGGCATTTTCTTATTTGAGGTCATATGCTTCCTTGTATGCTTGATTGTCCCTTATTTTGAGCCTTACACCTAAGCTCTTGTTGCATGCTTGGTTTGGCCTTCTAGCCACTGAAATCCAGTGGATTTTCAGTGGCTAGCACACTGTTTTGAGCCCCCGAAATCAGAGGGGGGCGACCCCCTCTCACCTTGTTTGTTTGATGGTCATTTTGGCCTTCCAAAGAGGCCCTATCTTGCATGCTTAGTTGGTTGATTTCAGAGCCAATTTGGTAAGTTCTAAGACTACCATATTTGATTTTCATAATTTTTTATGCCATGCTAAGTGTCCACCTTGTATGTGCTTAATAATCCATTGCACGGCCCTCTAAAGGAGCTCATCATTTTTGCATGTATTGGTTGCATCTCCATGGTTATTTGGGCATATTTTCACATGTTTTATTCACTGATTTTTGCTGGTTTGGTAAGATTCCATGTGCATCCTATACCTGCCATATAACTCATGTTTGCCAGCCAATCTTGCATGCTATTTTAGTCCACCATGCTAGCATCTTTTGACCATGCTTTGAACTGGAAATGTTCATCTTTTGGGACTGCCTTGGCTCTGTCTTTAGACTTCATGATCAAATAATGCATGCTTTGTATAGCTATAAGTCATTCCATGTGCCCAGTTTCGAGTTTAGAGGTTCATCTCATGCACCGGGTGCCTTTTTTCCATGTTTCGGGGCTGTTTAGCATCATATTTCAGTGCTGTAATTTGTGAGTTTGTATGCCATCTTGCATCCCTTGCCATGCCTTGTTAGAGTTGCATGTTATGCCTAGGATCGGTCCTCGGTTTGCGTGCATGTGTGCACGCATTTCGATAGTCCCATTCTCACCTAATGGCCACCGATGTGAGTGTGGCTGAGGTCCACTC